TGTCTTTCCTTCCAGATATATTTCTAAGAATCCCCCTCTCCTAATATTTTAAATATTTCTCTTTGTTCTTTCCCTCCAGATATATTTCTAAGAATCCCCCTCTCCTAATATTTTAAAAATGACCGTTACTCGATTATTAGTACCTTATTATACAATTAGTCTTTCGTCGACCGTTCTAACTGACGGTTCACTTTTTAATACCCTCGGTTCAAAGAAGCAGCAGCAGCATGAATTACTACATGCCGAGACATGAAGAAACGTGCGAGAAGAAATGCGATGAGTAAGTATAACTTTTTTGTATCTTTTATATATTTTATATTTTTTTAATTTTATTTTATCTTTTTTATCTAATTTTTACAGCGTTTCGCTGGAGCCTCGTGCGGTTCGCATACTTGGAAGACAATACGCATTGACGGCAACGGAATTCAAATTCCTCGAAATCGGCATCAGAGTGGATCCGCCGAGTTACGTGGAGATCGTCATAGGAGATCATCGGGGAAAACAGCTATTACTATCTTTTGAAACGTGGAAAGGACTCTACGAGCAACGCCACGCTATTCACAATTACCTGAACAATGACTCCTCCTCCAACAACGATGTGTATAATTGCATAAGTGTCGGGCCGCTAACAGTGCGATTTCACAAGATAAACGGCACCAAGCTCATAAGTCTCGAATCAGCAGACGTGCGCATGATGATGGTCGAATCGACGTTACATCGTATGTTCGAGCTCGATTCATGTATCGAAATAATGTTCGATCGTTTGACGAGGCTCGTCACAACGGTTGATATCAAATATACTCAATTCTCCAATATTGCATCCACTGTAACGAATGCGAGAGAATTGTCGAATGCAATACGCGCTAGCAATGCCTTCAACATGCACCAACTTGTCGATTGCGAGCTGGTGGTTTTAGTTTTTAATATGTAATAAAACTTTATATATAATTATGTATTAAATATAAGACGAATAAATACTTATATGTATATATCATGGTGTACTTTATTTGCGCGCCACCCGTTACATACTTTGCGAGATATAATTATTGTGTCAAGGACATTGCATTCAGCGAAAAAAAATTGATAATTTTATCTTACGAGGCGCACGCGACATTAAGAGACAGAGAGAAAGAGATCCAAGCTTGGATTCAGCACGCATTCGAGAGAAAAGACGCAGCGCGCGAGAGTAAGAGAGATGCACACATTTGAGAGAGAAGGAGGTAGCGCGCAGTCAGAGCAAGAGAGAGGTAGCGCGCGGCGGTATACGGGCTCTCCCGTCGGAGCGAGAGAGAGAGAGAGATGCTGTGGCGATAGAGTCGGCGGCTCGGGCGGCTTGGGCCTGCGGCGGCGAGAGAGATTCGGCGGCTCGGGCCTTTTTTTTTTTTTTTTGACGCAGTGGGAATCCTCATGGATACCACCGCTCTCCGGGAAGAGAGCGGATGGTTATGTGGGACTTCTTGTTCCCCTTGACCGATCCACTCGTGGATCGGTCAGGGGGCCCAAGACATACCTCACTAAACCCACTGCGGATACCTTCCCGGGCGTTAATGGGGGACGGCCAGGATGCTGGTTTCCCATGCCGACTGGCCGCCCCCCCGCCTAATCCCTCCTTGGGAGAGTGCCGCTGAGGGCGACACTCTCCCTCCCCCCGCGAATGTCATCGTGCGGGGGTCCTCGCGGTTGCGACGCAGGGCGGTATCGACCCTACGTCGCGCCCTCCCAAAGAGTTTGGGGGGCGGGGTCACGGCTCGAGTATCCCGCTCGAGCCGCCACCCCCCGCCTCCGAAGCGGTGCTCCCTCCCCCTCCCGAAGGGGGTGGGGATTCGGCATTCGTCCCGAAGGCCCTCTCCAGAGGGTCTCAGAAGGAGAGGAACCCCCTCCGTGGACGGTGTTGCCCTCCCACCGGTGCCTACGGCTCCCGGTGAGAGGGCCCCACACGTCACGTCTCCGTCCTCGAGAGGGACCCAGGCACCCCGGACGGGAGGGCAATGCCCGCCCGCCAGGGACACGTGGCCCCCCCTCCTGACCCCCCGGTTGCGACCTCCCTCCGCCCCTAAGGGTCAGAGTTCACCCGCAACCGGTGGGGCCCCTCCCTCCCGGAGGGTGTGGAAGGGAGGGGAGCGCCTAAGCGCCCCCATGTCCCCCCCGACACCCTCATTTGGCGTCAACTAATGATGCCGGTATCAGGCGGGCCCCCCGACCTTCGCCGCGGACAGCCGCACCCGTGAGCACGACCGCCGACGACGGGGGACAGAGGGCCGCGCCCCCTCCTCTCGACTCTGCCAGGGGTGCTGTTAGGCATCCCGGGCCTCCGATTCGGTGCCTGGCCGGCCGTCGAAAGTCCACGCAAAGTGGACATCTAAGGCCGGACAGGCACCCAACCTCCTTGTGGCCAGGGGAGCCGCAGCGGTAGCAGCGGCTACCCCTGTCCACCGCCGAAGTGCACCGGCGCCACGTGTGCCCCACACACAGACACCGGTAACACCTCGGCGCTCCCATAATGTTGGCGACGGTTACCCCGCCGCCAACTCTCCTTTCCCGCCGACCGCCTCCACCAGCGGTCACCTTCTCCTTCTCCTCCCCTTTCATCTCCCCTCTCTCTCTCCTCCTTGCTCTCCTCCCCACCACTCTCGCCCACACCCCTGTGGCCTCCCCAACCCCCTTCGTCGTCTTCCCCTTGTCCGTCTTTGTCGTCGTCGTCGTGTCGTCCGTAGCCGTCCCCGTCGTCACCGTCTCGGCTTCGGTCTCGGTCCCGGTGCCAATCTCCATCACGCTCTCCTCTCCGGAGATCTCCCGGGCCACCCGAGTCTTCCTCCTAACACGACCGACCCCCATCCTCGCGAGGCGCCCCTCGAGCAGTCCCAGCCGGTCCGAGTTGGCGGCCAGCCCCGAGGATATCTCCTCGAGTCTGTCCGCCAACTCCCCCGGCAAAGGGGCCACTGTTGCAGGCGTCTCCTCGGTCTGGGTTCCAACTGGAACCCCCTTCTCCTCCTGGGTTTGGGTCCCTTGGTCTCTGCAGAGCCTTGCGTTCTCCTCCTCATCCTGCCCGAAGCGGATGCACTCTCTACGCGTGAGCTCTGCAGCGACCTCCGTCAGTTCGCGCGTCATGCGCCACATGCGTCCGGCGAAGCCCGTAGCTTCTCTCAGGATGGGGCTCATCTTCCCATCCGACCGGACCTCCTCCATGATGGATTCGTTGAATCCATCAATCTCCCTTTTTGCCATCTTCCAGATGCGCATAGACCTCCGGAAGAGGCTCGTCGTGGGGACATCAACGTCTCCCTTGATCCACCATGGGGCCAGGTCTTTTTCCCATGTGAGGCCTGGAAGTAAGTACTTCGGCCTCACCGCCCTGGGGTCTGTAACCCTCCCATTCGACACGGTCGACGAATCCGTCGACCACCCATCCTCACTCTCGCACCCGTCGCTCGTTGACGACGGAGTGGAGGCCGGGATGATACCCCCCTCTCCGCCGGGCCCTGGGGCATTCGATTCCCCTGGACCGGTAACGTTTTTCTTTTTGTTTTTCCTCCCCATGTTGATATTTGTTTGGCCTCTTTTAGCCTGGTGGCCGTCCAGGGGTGGTGGGCCGAAACCCTAAGGCCCCACCAGGCCTCTTGTACCTCTACAAGAGGTACCGATCGCTCTTGGCACCCTTCGCAAGGTTATTCCCCTGCGAAGGGTGAGCCCCCCCACCACGACAAGGTGGCGATCAACGGGGGGGCGGCTCGGGCCTGCGGCGGCGAGAGAGATTCGGCGACTCGGGCGGCGAGAGATTCGGCGGCTCGGGCGGCGAGAGATTCGGCGGCGAGAGATGCGACGGTGAACGAGAGAGATCCAAGCCTGGATTTTGCGAGAGAGAGTCGGCGGCTCGGGCGGCGAGAGATGCTGCGGCTCGGGCCTGCGGCGAGAGAGAGGTTTGTTGCAGCGAGAGATGCGACGGTGAACGAGAGATTCGGCGGCTCGGGTGGCGAGGGATGTGAAGGAGAGGAAGGGAAACATTTTTTTTTATTTTAATAAAATACATATTTTATTCATTACTTTTTTATTCATATTTTTTATATTTTTTTTTTTTTTTTTTAAGTCAGGAAATTTGCCAACCAAACTTCGCGTCCTGACCCTTGAGGGAGGGCCAGGAGGCTTCGTGGCGGATTCCCGCCCGTAGTATCCCGAAGGACTAGCGGACGGGGTACCAGCCTAAAACCTGACTATAGCCCCTGGTCGTTGACGGGTATTGTCCACCGCGGAACCGCGATCGCATTACTTCACGGTAGACACCCATGACCTGGTCCTGTTAAGGACACATCCCCGGGCAACCGGAAGAGTTGACCCGTCCAATGCCCTCACCCCGAGAGGGTAAAGAGGAGTGAGCCGGGCTATCAGCCCACTCCCGACCATCCCGTGGTCGACGTGCAATGGAATTGGAGCCCCCACTCCTCTTCCTGCCAACCAGGGTGGCGAGATGACCGCAGTCATCCACCCAACATGAAATGACGTCACAGGACATCACAAATTCGACGTGTACATATACACAACCACATTGAAAACCAACTAGGGGCCACAGGCCCAGCTCCTAAAGAGCCCACATTGAGGCCAAAGGCCATCCACAGTAAAGGCACTATGGCCGACGACGAATAGAGGGAGGGGGGTGGACAGACGGACGTCCACCTCACATGTATACGAATACACAACACGGACATTTACTTGGCGGGAGCGAGGGGGCCACAGAGGCGCCTCTCGGCAACCTCCCCGGAACCCCCCGCAACCCACCGCTACCTACTAAACATAAAAACAGACTAAGGACAGAGGGCGTAACCGGGCCAAAGGTCCCTATTTTACTGGGGAGCAGTAAGGCCGCAGCCCTCATAACAACATTAGACAACATATTAATCCGACATTAACTCCGTCGGGGCACAAGAGGACGCAACAGACGCACCCCTCGACACGCTCCGCCGCCCCCCCCGAAATCCCCGACGGACCCGCCACTGGACTGGGGACCCTTAACTCAGTCCCCCCGTCAGGGCGCCCTGGAGTCTGCCTGCGCCCAGAGGGAACAGACTCCCTGTCACCAACCAATTGCGAGGAGGCACACATTTCTTCGCACAAGCGCTTGAACCTGCGCGATGATTCGCCGGCTTCCCGCTGATGCTGCAGGGCACACAGCGGGGTGGCGCCTCACATTTAGCCGCCTGATGTCCCTCTCTTCCACACCTAAAACAGCAATTGCTGCGCACAACCTCGGAGCCACACCTATTGGACGAGTGTCCAAAAGCATGGCACCTGTAGCACTGTATGGGCCGACGAGCCAACGGAATAACCCTCAGCTTCGTCCACTGCATATCAATGCTACCCAACACTCCGAGCCTGCGCGCAGCCGCGGCAGGACAACGGATCCAAAGAGATCCAACTTTGGATTTTGGAGATATACGAATCTCCCCAGCTTTCAAATCAGCGACGCCACACTTACCTGACGCCGCCACAGAGGTCAAAACTTCATCCCTCCGCATGTAGGCCAGAATTCCCCGAACTCGTACCTCCTCCATACGAGAGGGGCGGCCCACCTTCACACCACTGTCGGGCGGGAACAGTCTGCCAAGCTCGCCCAACAAAGCCTCCGCCTTACTACCGGAGTCCCTTCCAGGAATGGACACCAGTATGCTGCCCGTAACGCCCCGACGTAAGCGGGTGCCGGAAATCCCTAGGCTGGGCAGGTCCACCTCCTTCATGGCCCTCGATAGGACCGATGCGTACGTCTCCTCCCGCCCCTCCCCCTCAACTGTCAATGAGACCACCGACTTAGAGGGGAGCCTGGCGAGACGACGAGTCCGCTTTTCTTCCTGGGCTGAGTTGTCCACGGGAGCAGCTCCATCTTTAGAGGAGGCTCGTCTAGGCCCACGCCTACGACGTCGCCTCCCACCCCTTTTGGAGGACCCGGGACCAGGGACATCCGCCAAAACCTCCGCAGATGCGGAAGCAGTGGAGCCTCTAGCCACGGGACCAGACCCCGGAACACGAGCTCCACCACCTACGCTCGCTAAGGGCGCACTCATGGGAACCCCTCCAGTTGGAGAGGACCCAGACCGCCCCGCAAGCAAGGGCCGCAAACCGGCCAACACCGCCGATGCAACGTCGGCCCTCATGTCGGCAAGCCTCCTGTCGAGGATAGCCGAGAGGTCCGCAACCGTAAGAAGTGCGGTCCCGGCAGCACCTCCTCTCGTTCCACTTCAACCCTTGTGGATTCCGGGGAGGATTCCACGCGTTGCCTCTTCTTAGGGGCCTTCTCCAAAATCTTGTAGAAGGCAGCCTCCTCCAATTGTGGCATGACCGCACGGACGGCAGCCATCTCGCCAGCAACCCTGTCACGCTCTCGCTCAAGAGCCGAAATCCTTTCTCTAAGCCCCAGATTTTCGCTCCGGAGAGCTTCAATCTGGGTGTCCGACTAAAGGACAATTCGTCCCTTCATTTCTTGAAATATGCTTCCCAGTCTCACTGAAGAAATCCGAAGGTCCCTAGCCACGACCGAGTCGAGACCGGTAACCTCAGACGCCTTCTCAACTTGGGAAGCAGAAAGCTCCGCCAACCTCTCAAGTTCCCGGTTGGTAACCTTTCGCAAACTGGCCTGAAAAGCCGCGTCAGACGGGATATTCTCCACGCCAACCGCGGACAACTCGGGTCCCAGATCAGGGTCCAAGAGCCTACGGATGTCCGCCAACTCTAGCTCCCGCTCTACCGCTCTATTGAGACGCTCCTTTGGCTTGGCCAGATCAACGTAGTCCCCGGTCTTCTTGGGACGACCCCGTTTTTCGGCTTTAGGCTTTGACGTACCCGGCCTAGATCTTCTAGGGTACCGCTTGCGGCCAAACAGCAACCTCTTGTCCGAGGGTTGCCATTCCTCATCCGCCTCGGGAGACCCCGGCGAACTCGGCGAGGGGATGGTGACAAAGGAAGCCTCCGGAAGCTCCTCGTTGTCACTCCCTCCACGAACTATTTCTGGGGAACGGAGATGCTGGGAACAGTCACTCTCCGACCCCAACGACGAACACATTTGTTCACCCGACGCGCACGCAACGTCAATCGGGCTCACAACACTCACACACGCGTGGGAACCACAGAATTCCGTCTCACCGCGAGAGCACTCTCGGAAGTACTTCCTAACGTGGCCCGCTAGCCGGCGATACATCCCCAGCGAGCGGAACACTTTCACCTCACTATCCTGAAGAACTCGGTGAATACACCACACGAGCTCCCCAGGATCCACACTGGTGTCGCGATCCTCCCAGAGACCATCCAGGTCACAGAGCTGAGACTCGACCTCATCTATAACCTTCTTCGGCACTGTCGCATACAAGTCCTTGAACCCAGCCGACAAACTCAAGGACGACCCGTCGCTAGATGACGACGAGGAGAGAGCCAGGCCTACGCTCTCCCCCCGCCGGTTCCTGGTATCCGACTCCAGGAAGTCTTCTCTTTTCTTATTTGTCATACTCATCTGAAATAAGAAAATTGGTTTTTTCTGTCGGGGGTGTTTTCCTTCCCCTTAGGAGGTTGCCTTACTCAGCTAACGAGGCCTCCCCCCCGGGTGTTATCTTCGGTATTTTCCTTCACCTAGTGCAGTGGACAAGTCCTTTTTAGGGCCTGCACGCCCATCACACCCCATTCATCCTTCGCACGCACTCCAGCTCGGGTACCTCGGGATTGCGACACCCGTACACTGCAGGGATGAGTGCGCATTGCCCCTGAGGGAATAATTAAGAATAATAAAGGGAATAATATTTTTATATTAGTTTTTACATAATTTTATACATTATTTTTTATACATATTTTTTCTATAAGGAAAGAAGAAGGAAAACATTTTTTAAATTAATAAACATTTTATATATTATTAATATTTTTTTTATTTAATATATTACCGCCGGCATTGGCATTACCCGAGGTGTACCGCGTGGAGGTTGCCGGTCGGATTTACACCTCATATGTCAGAGTATGTGCATGTGTGTATGCGTGTGTGTACTTGTACATGTGTTGCAGTAGAGATGAGGACCCCGCGGTTCGTCACTTCCGCGGTATTTAACGACTCCAAACCCTCTCTACTGTGTGTGTAAATAAAAAATAAAAAATAATATATGTAAAATAAAAAAATAAAAATATAAAAATATAAAAATATAAAATATAAAAAAATATAAAAATATAAAAACATAAAAAATAAAAAAATATAAAATATAAAATATAAAAAATATACGGTGACGGCGAGTGAGCAGCAAGAGAGAGATAGATGTGGCGGCTCGAGGTAGTGGCATCTACACATAGAAATATAATAATAATAATTTAATATTTTATAGATTTTTTTTTTTTTTTTGGTATTTTAATATACTTACAGCCCTGACGGGACAGTGAGAGAGAGGGGGGGTCGCATCACCCATCGCTGTCATCAGACTCGACATCTGTGCATAGAAATATAATAATTTAATATTTTATATATATTTTTGACATATATTGCGACCGTCTCTCCGTCCTCTCTCGTCAAACGAGAGAGAGAGTGCGAGAGAGACTGCTGCGCAACCTCGTCGTGCCGCTCTCCGTTCTCTCAATACTTGCTCGGTATCACTAATTGCTCGGTATCGTATCTTTTGGGCGCCAGGTGCAATCAGGCCGCACCACTCAACAATATCTCGGTAAATAATCAGCGGACACGACGGCTCGGCCTCGGTAGCTCGGTATCAACAGGGGGTAGAGTGTCGTGGTTCTTTCCGTAAGGAGATTCGGAATCGCAGTCCCGGAGAGAGAGAGGAAATCTCGATATTGATTGTACTCAGAAATAAAATAAGATAAGAATATATTTTCAATTAGTAGCATATAAATAGAGTGAATGAAAATAACTATAACACTATTATCGAGCCGTAGGGAGATCGCTGGGTTTTCTCGAAATCTTTAGTTATCATTGCTCTCCTCCCTTTGTATCCGGCTCGGAATCGAATAGATCATACTCTAATCCAGCGTAACTTATTCTCAAGGATTGTTAATCATGACTCGATACAATGCTAATATTACAATATATGGAATCACTAGAGTGCATGAAATAATATTCTTTTTTTGAAATGTATTTTGTTAGCAAATTTTGATAATGTAATTAAGTTCTCTTTCAATTTTAAGATGGGATTCTTATTGACCACGCAGTAAGTGTTAACATCTGTAAGAAGTTCAGTTACTTTATTATTATAAAAATCCTCTCCATTGCAACTGTCACATTCCCTTTGTCAGATCGCGTAAATATTATATTATTGTTTTTTCTGCAAAATTTAATGTGGTATTGTACATATCAATAATTTTTTCATTTATTAAATTCTTTTTATGAAAATATGTAGATAATAATTAAATTGAGGGATTGCAATATTCCTAATAGTTCTAAGGTTCTGTATATTATTTTTTTTCCTATTAGCTTCCAAATCTTTGATAAATTCATGTATGACAGTTTTTTTTATTAGAGATAGGAAGGTTGAAATTACTACCCATTTGTAGAAGATTAGATATTTTTGGTGGGATTTCTGTGTTGGCTAAATTAATGAATCATTTATTATTAGTCTTGTTAATGGGTCAATATCATTAATAATAGAGGACTTGGGATCAATATGGATGTCTATGATTGTTTCGTTAGAACTCTTAGTGGTAAGTTTTTAGTATATTTAATATTCTCAACTAATAATGTGCAAAAGGATTGATGACGTGGAATGGACTGTCAACTTGATCTAATAACAACAGTGAGCTCGTTTGCATGTTTTTTGACATATTTAAAAGTTACCATCTCAGTTAAAAAATGGTTAGCCGATCAAAAACATATCTATTTTAATAAATGATATAAGCGTCACCCAATATAAATTAATGACTCATCAAACCAAAGGTTCATTACAAAATAGACTCTAATGCGTAATATTTCTTAATTTTATTTTTTATATATTTACTGAAGAAAGGCTGAGGTAACAGCCGAAACGTTTATTTTTTATTAATATCATGTATATACTAACAAATAAAGTAATGGTGTTGACATACATTACATCTCTAACTAATTAATATGCTCGTTATGGTTGGCCTTGTCTTTCTAAATCTTATTTTATAATAAAATATATGTTTATTCATTTTTATTTTTACAATACCGCCGGCCTTAGCGTTACCCGAAGTGTACCACGTGGAGGTTGCCGGTCGAATTTACACCTCTTGTGTTGTGTCTGTGTGTGTGTGTGTGTGTGTGTGTGTGTGTGTGTCACAGTGGAGATAAGGACCCACGGTTCGTCACTTCCGCGGTATTTATAGACTGCAAACCCTCTCTTTTGTGTGTATGTAAATATAAAAAGTAAAAAAAAAAATATGTAAAATAAAAAAATATAAAAATATAAAAATATAAAAATAAAGATATAAAAAAATAAAAAATAAAACCTTAATGATAAAAGGAGTGATTACGGAGACAAGGGTTGTGGCAGTGACGGCGGCGGCGGCGACGGCGGTGGTGGGGCGACGGCGTCGGCTGAGGTCTTGTTACTGGAACGTCGAACGGTGGGTCTGTAAACAGAACAAATTAATTTATCAATTTTACATTATAATAATTTATTATATTAAAAAAAATTTTTTTTAATTTATTCTTACCGTTCCAGTCCTCGCCCTCGAGTTCTCGTAGAATCGGGCCCCAATCGAACGGCTCTGGTGGTTCGAACAGTTCCACTAGGTCGAACGTATGGGCATTACCTCCGGGCAGTGGTCCTCTAAATTGCGGAGCCACTGGACGTCGCCCTATAGGTGGTCTAATTCCTCCCGCTTTCGCGCCCTCTACCACCTGACTCATTCCCACGAAGTGGCCCCTTCCCTCCGCTCTATCTCCGGCTCAGGACCGGCAGTACTTCCGATTCCTCGAGCATAATATCGATGAGCTGGAAAAATTAACATTAAATGAATATAATTATATTATAAATAATATATGATATTTAAATCGGCTAATAGAGCCCAAGCGCGAAAAATTAATTCTTCGGAACTGTATCTCTTGGTTTGAGATTACTAAGTTCCATATATAAATTAATTTCGAACTTACATATGGAAAAAATAGGCAAGAAAATATAGGTCCAAAAGTCGCTGAAGCGGTAAGAGCAGTCGCCCGGAAAGTGAAAGACGCGGGTTCGACATGACATGCCGGACACATGTTGGCCAAGAAGATTGTGAACAATCGTTCTTGGCAATGGTGATGCGGCACATCCCTGTACCGCATCGTCTCGTGCCTGTGAATGACGGAAATGATTGCGAATCTCTCCCTGTTTCTCATGAAACAGGGAATGCAGATTTTGATGGACCACGGTGCGACGTACGAATACATTACGCACACTTTCGTGTTCTCATCGAGGGATACAATGGCTCGATTCTCCAATGTATTTTCGCGAGACGACTCAATCACGCGATCACTTTTGTAGCCATCGTCTACTATTTGCTGATGTTCTTCTTCTTCTTCTTCTTGTCGGATAATGTCCGGCACGATTTCCATTTCTTCTATATCGTCCAGGACGATATTCACCTGCCTGTAGTACACAGGGTCGTATATGTCATATTCGTCGTCTTCTTCTTTTCCTCGTCATCAGAGATCGTGATGACCTCCACTTCCATCTTGTCATCAGAGACGTCATTAGAGATGTTGATCACAATGTCTTCATCCACTGGTATGGGGCACATGTTTCCACAATTTTGACACACAATTTTAGAACACGAAATAAGTCAATGTTCTTACTTCTGCACTCGTTTAACGTATAGCCACTAACTTTTGCAGACCGGTCAGTGTGCTCTCGCGGTCATTGTACTATGATTTGAGAGTGCATAGGTCCTATTATATATTCCACTCAGCCCTTTGTTCTTCATGTGTGATTGCAATTATCTCAGAAAGATGATCTTCGCCGAAATAAAAATAGCGGCTGCTCAGTAGCTGACCATTGTTATTGTGTGCGAACGCGTGAAGGAGAGCGTGAACTGGAGAGCCAAAAAAGCTAAGCCACTTTATTTGAATAACACAAAAGTTTAATTACTGACACAATTTACAATACATTAATCAACAAAAAGTTCAAATTAGATATCCAAAATCGTTTAACAATGGATAAGCGAATCAAGGACGGTCGTTAGCGGTTTTCACAAGCGGATTGACAGCAGTTTGCGTGTAAGAACTCGAAAGACTTTGATGCGCAATTTTTGGGTGCTTCTTTATCATTGCGGTGCTGGAACCCCACTAATTTTATGTACCAATTAATTTCTGTGAATTTAAAAAAGGCAAAGGTGATGCGAGGCGTCTGTCGTAATTGGGTGCCCGTGATCTGCGCAAAATAAGTACGTTTCTGGCATGCGCGAAACGTTCGATAACGTGATTGATGGCTTTCGGAAGCCACGTGATTGCGCGGCGCATGTCTCTTACGATGCTGATTAAGACGGTATCAGATATGTTCAGTTAAACTTGTTGTGATAGTTGACATATTTTTTATACTAATCTTAATTTATTGCCTACTTGTTTGTCTTAGGTGAACCTTTTTTAATCGGTTTTTTTTTTTGTATATTTATATACGCAAATGTCGATTTTTACACGACCGAAATAATTAACTTGAATTAATTATAATGATTTTCCTTTGCATCTTTGAACAGTTATGTTTACATTTCCCGCAAAGACATGTCTCTACAAATATGATAAACGTTCTCAGAAACGTTGATATATTTTTTGCATATGTTCAGTAACACTTTTCTAATTAACATTAATGTAATCATTGGGATTATCGAGTTCTGTTATGTGTTGTTTCCATGGCTCTCGCCAATAACTCATTTTACATGAAGAATTATATAAAGTATTCTCAAAGAGGCTTCTGTACAGCTCTTTCGTGTTACGTTTTTGAACCTATTTCACGCGCATGTATTGCCTGCACGATTGAGTTTACATGAGTTTTGCTTGTAAGCACGGGCATACTGGTATCTTTGCTTAAGCATATTCTGCGTATCACTTTTCTTTTTCTTCAAGTTCGGCGATGCGAGCTTTCCGTGATTTTTTCATAAAAGAGAAATAATTTTCCAGGTCTTAAATTCCCATAATATCTATCTGGTGGTGGACATTGGTCTTTTAAAATGTCGATACATTTATCACAGTCTTTCAATCATTGTAATAGGTATATATTTTTTTTTCCTACTTTTAACCCTTTCCTTTCTATACATTGCACTATCATTTTCTTCCATTTTTATCGAGACACTTGGACATATTTTTCCATTAGATTGGCATTGACTATCACATCAACTTTCATAATTTCAAATGGCATCTCATGCAACGGCACCTTTGCGACGACTCGTTGGCTGCATATTTATTGTCTGTTACTTTTCACACGTATTACACTTGTGATCACTAACCTCAGTCTATTTTCGCTGACATTCGCTACCATCCTAATCATCGGTGCTGGACCGTCAATGTGCGTCACATCATGGTCGATTGTAATGCTCAAGACAGCGACGATATGTCTGAACCTCGGATCCGCCTTGATGTGCTCCGGAAGGCTTGTCCCACAAATGTTCTATGAAATAGCACTTTTACAGTAAAACAATCTTCGGAATATATTGCAGCGTGTTAGCACTTAAACTGAGAATGTCGGAAGCACTTGATAGCATCACAAACATCTTGCACACCGAATGAGGAGAGCGTGCACTTTCGTGGTCACCGTACTATAACCCGGCAGCAGCATCAGCCCTGATTATATATCCCGATCAACCCTTTGTTCTTCAACGTGCAATGATGTATTGTTAATTCGCAAGAAATAATTGCGATATCTCCCCGCTGATAATTCTCCAAATTGATAACAATTATAAAGCCGCCGCTCGGCAGATTATCGTTACATCCCTGGTGTAAATTTACCCCGTCGCAAGCGGCGAAGACATGTCGCAAGGTCGCAAAGCGGCGACGTGTTCGCCCCCGATGACGCGCAAATATCCTTGCTGATATTTCTTAGAAATAAACAGATAACGTATAGATCAGCAGCAACCGCGCTTGCAGCCACGTA